GCATCTCCACAGTGCAGTGGTTTGCTTTGCTAGGTTCTCACCTGGCTTTACCATATTTACAGGCTGACCTCACAGCCTCGTACCGATGTTACAGTATTACACATCAGACTATTACACTAGGTATCGGACAATATGATCACCACCTTGCAGATCAGACACTTTACATCAATATTGCTAATTGCAGTTGACTAACACCTATGTGGCAGACAATTAAGTGATGTGATTGATTGGGCAATGGGGGGCTAATGGATAGGGAAGCAAATGCAATTCTTACATTGCTAGAGAGCTTGATTAAGATAAGGCTTTTTCTTACCTTCAATTTGGCACGAATATTACAGCTCAGTCTTGCTAAAATATTTTTACTCAGTCATAGGAAAACCTAGCAAGTTTTGCAACTGTAATAATTATTCATTTTCAAGATTATCTAGCATATGTTTAAAAATCAGTTTAAAGTTTACCTCCGCTGTTTTTGCCTGAGCAATGCATGTGGTCTCCAAAACAATCATTTTCATCCTTGCTGTTTAAATCACTCCTAGATGGGTTTGCGAGATATTTAGGTTGATCTCCTTTGTTTCATAAATACCCCAATATTTATTATAAACAAAATCACATTGCAATATTTGAAAAATTTCAAAAAATATTTTATTTCTTGTTATGCTATCCTTATCTTCTGGTATCTGTTCTTCCAACCAGATTGCAATTATATCTTGTGTCACTTCATTTGTCCACGCATTCATTATTATTAATTTTATTATTTTTTTTACTCCTGTGATATAATAGGTCAACTGGAAAAAGTCCAATACGAACAAGCTGAAAGGAGCCATATTCGCACCTATCGTAGTGGAGTCAAACATACTTCGGTCAATAAATCGATTCCTCTCCCGTGCATGTATACTGGGACAAGGACAGTAGTCCGATTAAATGGCGTAATTGAGCTATAACCGTAGCTCAACTAAGCTGTGCAGGTAAACAAAGTGACTGACGTACCCTGAGCAAGGTACTGCCCCCAAACACTGCTACATGGGTGCTGAATTAGCTGCCCCCTGCTATGTCACATGTGGTTAAATGCAGAGGACACATTTCCTTGTTGTGCACTGTGTGCCGTGTTGTGTCAACAATGACAACTAATCACTTTCACTTCACTTGACTGGAACCAACAGAGGTGGATAATTCTGATCCATAAAGTAAAAATTCAGACCAAAATTATGTTTCAAATGACCAGTACAGAGTCACAGTCACAAAGTATTCAATGAGTTGGATGAAGCAAAATCTTGGTCTGGAGTTTTACCTCTGGGAACCAATGACCATTTTCAGTATGTAATGAACTACAGCCAATGAGTGAAAAGGCCCCTGTACCACCAGGGGTCACAGCACCAGGGAAGTAGGTGTCTGCAGGTTTCTGTTTTCTTATTAAAGTAATATCACAGATAACAGAAGCACTCTGTGCTGTGGTTATGCATTGCTTTACTACAAGAGGAGGCAGCCCTGATCCTGCAGTGCCGGTATCCAGCAGGTTTGCCATTCCACCTAGTATGTGATGAACCACACCTGATCTCAGGCAGACAGTAACTCCTCAGGCAGGGCAGAAAACCTGCTGGGCACCGGCATTACAGGATCAGGGATGCCCACCCCTGGTTTATGACATCATGCCACTAACAAACCTCTAACAAATTAGTGGGTCTGCAGGTACTCACGTGCTGTTTCCTTGGGAGACAGGACCCGTACAGTGACCTGAGCAGAGTCTGACTGCCCCTTGGAATCTGTGACGGTCAGCTGGAACACGTACTCGCCCGGATGCAGGTTGGAGAGCTTCACCTGGTCCTCCAGCTCCGTTTTCTGGAACACCAAGTTTCAACACTGCAGTGCTTTTGGTACTGAATAAAATAGCCATATCACCAAAAGAGTCCTTTAGTCCAGGGGTGGCCAATCTTATCCAGAAAGGGCCATTGTTTATGCGGGTTTTCACTGCAACTCTCTCGTCAGATTACTAATTAGAGGACTGATTGGCTGAACAGTTCTCACACCTGGATTTGAACAGCTGGCCTAAAGATCACCCCAAACTCCTGCATACACACCAGCCCTTTGCAGATAAGACTGCCCACCCTTGCCTTAGATTATAGCGCCTTGACACAACAGTTCAACCTACCTTGTTCATCATCTGGATCTTAAGCATCACTTCCCAAATTGTTAAAACCGAGGTAATATCCTTTACAAATAAAGCCATGGACATCTCCATAATACAAATTATATATACTATACTAACCTATTATAATTTAATCAATGTTACATAAGTGTACAGTATTACAGCATAGACTAGATGTGTTATTAAAGAAAAACAAAACCTGTACTTACTCTGGATTAGACAGAACAGACCCATATACATTATATGTGAAGTGGCATACTGAACGGATTTTTGTAACAGCTGATTATTCTGTCCAGTTAGATGCAAAAATCCTACCTCCACAGTGACCGATTCGTTCCCACTTAGCAAGGTCCACTGGTAACTAATGATCTTATGATCATCTCGGCTCTGGAAGCCATTCAGAAGCACGTCGGTCGTCGGTTGAACAGTCATGTCCTCCCCAGCGTTGGCCACAGGAGGCCGGTCATCTTTTCCTTCAAGAGGGCAGACAAGTCCACATTGAAATGCGCATTGCCAACTGTTATTCAAAAGGTAAAATTCGGAATAGAGAATAAAATTCCTTTTAGAATAGACATATTTCTTTAGACCAGTGACCCTATCCATCTGGTTCTTAATTCGCAGTTACCAAAAAACAAACTTACAGACATTTAAATAGTTCTCTGGATGTTTTGAAATCCTTTCCCCACCCAGAAACAAACAGCGCCGGTGTTCTGTCGAAAAATACTACCTATCGAGACGTGCTATCGAGCCTTTCTGCGCATGTGCAGTTCCACCGTTTTGGGATTAGGGTTAGGTTTTAGGGGTTAGGGTTAAGGTAAGGGTTTTAGGGGTTTAGGGTTAAGGCTATCGATTAGCACTACGGTAGCATTTTTCGACAAGGCAGCATATATCGACAGAACACCGGGATAGATTTAATCAATGGTTTTGTGAAGGCTTGTGATGAAGGCACGTAAAATACTCACTTGGAGTTTTTTGGTGGCCGTCCAGGAAGTTATCGAAGACACTCTTTAAGATGTAACTGTTGAATCCCGTACGTTTTACAAACGTGCAAACATGTCTGTTTGCGTACAAACAGTCGAAAAGATAGCAGCTTTTCACGGCGTCTCCCTCCACATTCTGCTCCAGCATGGCCAGGTTACAGGTGCCATGTTTGCAGCAAGCTTGCACACAGTCTTCGGCGTGCTCCACGGGTGGGGAGTCGATGAAGGTGGCCCCGTTGTTAACCGAATCTGTTACATCTACGAAAAAGTCCTTCTTCCCTTTCTTGAAATTTGCCAGGCAGTGCTCGTCGACGCACTCGGACAATCTTTGAATTAAGATCAGCGCGAAGCATAATAACAATCCACCGAAAAACTGAGTCATTCTTTAGGTGAACGGCCTTTTTTCTTTCTAAAATAAACGCAAAAACACAGAGATAAAAAATTTATATCAAAAGCGAACGACTCCCAGATGCTGGTCTGGTCATTTGTCTTAAACAAACATTTTAGATAACACGTGAACGTATAGCCAGAATAATATACAGCTTATTTATAGCTAATAACTTGCAGTATAGTTTGTATACTTACATAGCTCGCAGTCTGTTCTGTAACGAAAGTAAATAAAAAGAACGAAGAAAGCCACTTTTTGTCACGATTGCGATAGCAACACGGCTTCCTCCCAGTTTGGACCTGTTGAATTGAGGAAGTACGCTGGAGCGCCGCTCCTTGCCGCAGTTGTGACGCAGCCAACCTGGGGCTCACCTGCTAGCGCCCTGATGTCAGCGGGCGGCAAGTGCGCCGAAAGCTGCCAAAAGCCGCAGCGTAAACACACTCGCATTTTAGGTCCACACAGCAAGCCAGGAAATATGGAGACTGAGGGCCTGTACTACGAAGCGTGATTACTGGTTTATCGGGGTAACTTGTCGGATTTAAGGTAGTCTGGGCAAAATGTACGTGAACGAATATGAAGTCCATTTAAACTGTGGTACCTAAATCCGACAAGTTACCCCGATAAGCCAGTAACCCTGCTTCGTAGTACAGGCCACGGATCCGTCAAATGCATCCATATGCGTTGTAAATTTATTAATTTTTTTATGTTTTTTCCTGCATTTTTTCCCGCGTATAATAGAAAGTTTTCCAATATGTGCGCTAGAATGTTTGAGTCGCGGCATTCGGCGTAGTTGGATTTGTCTTTATGACAAATATGATCGAGTTCAATTTGTTCATTTTGTTTATTAATCCAATTTTTATTGTTTTGAATCATAAAACGTGGTCTATGTATATTGCATATACCTATCAATAATAAAACTCTACGTGTGTATAATATAGTAAGCAAGATAATTTTAGTTATAGGCCTACATATGGGGAGCTCACGCATTAGTAAATTGTGTCATTTGTCATGCTCCCAGATTGTTTTTTTAGCAACGTCCAACAGGATTCAGAACTAGTCACCTACGGAACTGCGTGTGTCATTTTATCTCATCTTCTGTTCGTTTTGAATGTGATACTCATTGCAGATTTTGGAAGATAATTTAATTTCATAGGCAACTTTGCACGTATTTCCAAATATTATAGTGAAAACATGTTCAAAGATACAGCATTAAAGACGTTTCCAAGTATGTGCCCAGCGATGCGTTGGACCCCGTCCTGGGATGTTTCACTGCCTTGCGCTCGTGGCGTCCGGAATAGGCTCCGGACCCCCAGTGACCCGGCACAGGACCGGCGGGTATAGAAAATTGAAGGATGGATGGACAAACGTACGTTCGCCGTTGAGGGTTATACCGCTTAAACGTAACATTTAGATAAGTCCACAAGGGGGCAGTCACGAACTTACATCAAATGTGTGCATATATCTTTTATTTATCCAACCGCTTATGCAGTACGGGAGCTTGAGCCGGGAAGCATATGGAACAAGGCTGGGAAAACCCTGAACAGGATGCCAGTTAATTGCACGGTATATACAGTACAGTGCGCAATTTAGAGACACCAGATCCCCTGAACAAAAGTATCTGCCAAACTAATAAACAAACAAATAAATATAGTGACGATCAAAATTAGAGAACGAGACGTTTTCGTAATATACAAAGTCACAGCTTATCTGAATTCAATGTTATTCTAACCTGAATAAGTGCATTTTAATGATATTTCATTGGTGAAAACTATGCCGCATGACAAAATAAACAGTTTAAACAGAAGAAGACATGCGTTGAAAATTAGAGAACGATTTGCTATACTTGACAGTTTTTGGATCAAATCTTAAATATCTTAAAATATCTGGCAACCCAATCTAATTGGCAACATTGGTAGGGGTTTTGCAAGACGGTGGATCTCTCCAAGGTGACTGAAATTTTGTGACGACAGGATGTTCAGATGAAGGCTGAAAAGATGACTCTCTTAGCTATTGAGAGAGAAGTTAGTCATTCCATGAGCTTCATTTCTTGAATATTGAAACTGTACAAAGAAGCAGCCATTCAAATCTAATAAACTGCCTGGTCACCCACATAAGACGAGTGTGCAAGGGAACAGGATGATAGGGAGACTTTCAGTGGGGGACCAGTTCAACACTGTAACTGGAATTGCTCACCAAATCAGTTCTGGACAGGGCAAGAATTTGTCTTGACAGGGTCTTGCTGTCTGGAACAATATGGACTAAAAGCCCACTTCACAGTGACCAAGCAGTTCATCAGAATGAAAAGGCCTGAAAGCCTGGCCCTTTGCTGAGGAGCATGCTGTTTTGACAGAGGAGAACTGATGCAAAGTTAGTTTCAGTTATGAAATGAAGTTTAATTTAGTTGGTTCAGATGGAATTTATGTTCTGTGGGCGCTGATGTGCCAGTTATTGAAAGCAAGGGCCTCTATGCTTTCTATACATTTCTGAAAGTTGTAACCATTAAAAAAAAGTTGACAGAATTAATTTGTATGCTTTTTCTAAAAAAAATTCAACCATTCATAGCTGATGAAATATGATTAAAATACATGTCTTCTATTTATGTTAGAATAACTTTGAATTCAGATAAGCTATGACTTTGCATATTACAAAAATGTCCCTTGTTCCTTAATTTTGATCGGCACAGTAAATAGATGTGAATGCAATGTAGAAAATGTAAATGTTTCTAGATGTGCAAACTTCACACAGCAGATAGAGAGGGATCCTTTTCTACTTTTACTATCTTTTGACTCCATATCTAGCTCATGTTGGTCATGCAGCTATTTCAAACAGTTTGTGCAGATAAAGCATCAGTTAAATTCACTGCTTTCAGTGACAACACATTTCTTAATTACTCTCTGACATTTAGTGACATTTAATAATCTTAATAATTCATTATTATTCCATTTATATTATTTTTTCATAGGTTAAAGCGTCATCATCCTGATCCTTTCTCTTCTACCCCTACTATCTGATAGCTCTCTGTTCTCTATTCGTAACACACACACAAGCTCCTTTTATTAGCATCCTTCATAAAGAACAAGGAGCAAGTGAGCGAGGGATGGAGAGAGGAGGGAAAGGAGAAAAACAACAGTGTGAGAGGAACTCAGAGTAGAGCGAGGGAGGATTCTCAGTTTCCTCCACTGTTTGCCAAGGGACTCAAAAAGCATGGCATCAGAGGCGAGCTCTCAGCCCAGAGTGATGTTCCACACCTCGGAAAAGGAGAAGGAGGATGAGGAATGCCCCCGGTGCACGCTTGTCAAGCTGACAGTCAAGTACAACCGCAAGGACCTGCAGAGAAGGCTGGACATCGAGGAGTGGATAGAGGGCCAGCTACACCTGCTCTATGACTGTGAGGTAAGCACACAGCCAGGCCTGTGCTCAGCACAAACACAGGAATCATTGCAATGTATTTTACAGTTATACAATTCAAAATATTTAAGGAAGTCTTGTGAAGGATACTGCTTAAAGATACTATGAAACAATAGAAACACATCCAATTATTTTAGAAACATTTCCATAACGTTAATATTGTAGTAATTTTACTTGCAGATGCATTTCGATATTTAAAGGATTTGTAGATCTTTAAAATATGTTGTTTTATCTGAAGACTAGTGCTGATAATTGAAGTTCTTCAAATACACCACGGAACAACTATTACAATATAAATTGTACATGGACCACCAGTTAAGTTATTTATTTATTTCATGCACAATATTGTTAATTCTCGGTGTAAACTCTTGGCAGTTTATTTTTGGACAGTATGTTTGTATCAGCAATTTATGCAGTTTGCTGCTGTATGCAAATGAATTTCCCCTGGGATCAATCTTATCGTTTTATAATGGAATACAAGGGCTGAATTATAAATATTACCCACAAAGATATTTTCACTGTTTATTTGCTCATTTCCACGGTAGGTGTCACGGTAGAAAAAAAATTCTCTTGTACTTGAGTTACTAATCCCATGCTCTCGATTTAGTAATTCATGCCGTCACGTTACTAGTCTGTGTGCTTGAGTTAGTAATTCATGCTCTATGAGTGGTGATTAACTCGAGAGTACTAATTACTAACTGGAGAGCATGTATGAGTAACTCCATCCATTTTCTGAAATCCATCCATCCTTTTTCTGAAACCACTTAATCCCAACTGGGGTCATGGGGGGACCTGAGCCTGTCCCAAGAACAAAGGACGTAGGCAGAAACCAATCCTGGGCAGTCGCCAACACATCACAGGGTACACACACTCACAGGGCCAATTTAGACTCACCAATCAACCTATCCTGTATGCTTTTGGACTGTGGGAGGAAACCGGTGAAAACCACACGAACACGGGGAGAGCGAGAGAACTCCACACAGAAAGGACCCGCGACCAAACCCAAGACCTTCTTGCTTTGAGGCAGCAGCACTAACCACTGCGCTACCACACCACCCATATGATTGGCTCGACAGCACAATATTTTTTTCTACCATGACACCTTAGGGGCTCCATAGGGCTCCGTAAGTACATGCTCTCGAGTTAGTAATCCGTGCCCTACTAACACGAGCGTACGCATTACTAACTACAGCCATGGCCAAACGTTTTGAGAATGAAGTATTGGTTTTCACCGTTTGCTGCTTCAGTGTTTGTAGATCTTTCTGTCAGATGTTTCTATGGTATACTGAAGTATAATTACAAACATGTCAATGGCTGTTATTGACAATTACATTAAGTTTATGCAATGAGTCAATATTTGTAGTGTTGACCCTTCTTTTTCAAGACCTCTGCAATTCACCCTGGCATACTGTCAATCAAGTTCTGAGCCAATTCGTGAGTGATGGCATCCCATTTGTGCATAATCAAAACTTGGAGTTTGTCAGAATTTCTGGGTTTTTGTTTGTCTACCCACCTTTTCAGGATTGACAAGTTCTCAATAGGATTAAGGTCTGTGGAGTTTCCTGGCCACGGACCCAAAATGTTGATGTTTTGTTCCCTGAGCCACTTAGTTATCACTTTGCCTTATTGCACGGAGTTCCATCATGCTGGAAAAGGTATTGTTCATCATCAAACTGTTCTTCGATGGTTGGGAGAAGTTGCTCTTGGATGTTTTGGTACCATTTTTTATTCATGGCTGTGTTCTTAGGCAAAATTATGAGTGAGCCCACTCCCTTGTCTGAGAAGCAAACCCACACATGAATGGTCTCAGGATTCTTTACTGTTGCATGACACAGGACTGATGGTAGCGCTCAGTTTTTCTTCTCCAGACAAACTTTTTTCCGGATGCCCCAAAAAATTGGAAAGGGAATTCATCAGAGAAAATGACTTTACCCCAGTCCTCTGCAGTCCAGAGTATCAGTCTGTCCCTGACTTGGAGAGAACTGGCTTCTTTGCTGCCCTTCTTGACACCAGCCCATCCTCCAAAAGTCTGCCTCATGCTGCATGCAGATGCTCTCACACCTGCCTGCTGCCATTCCTGAGTCAGCTCTGCACTGGTGGTGCCCCGATCCTGCAGCTGAATCAACTTTAGCAGACGGTCTTGGCGCTTACTGGACTTTCTTGGGCGCCCTGAAGCCTTTTTCACAACAACTGAACCTCTCTTTTTGAAGTTCTTGATGATCCGTTAAATGGTTGATTTAGGTGCAGTCTTCCTAGCAGCAATACCCTTGCCTGTGAAGCCCTTTTTGTGCAAAGCAATGATGACTGCACATGTAACCATGGTTAACAGAGGAAGAACAATGATTTCAAGTGCCACCCTCCTTTTAAAGCATCCAGTCTGCTGTTCTAACCCAATCAGCATGACAGAGTGATCTCCAGCCTTTTCCTCGTCAACACTCTCACCTGTGTTAACAAGAGAATCACTGAAATGATGTTAGGAGGTCCTTTTGTGGCAGGGCTGAAATGCAGTGGAAATGAGTTTTTTGGGATTAAGTTCAGTTTCATGGCAAAGAGGGACTTTGCAATTAATAGAAATTCATCTTATCACTCTTCATAACATTCTGGATATGCAAAATTGCCATCATAAAAACTGGTGCAGCAGACTTTGTGAAGATTAATATTTGCGCCATTCTTAACTTTGGGCCACAGCTGTAGAGAGAATGAATTATTAACTCGAGTACACGGATTACAAAAAAAAAAAAATTCTACCGTGACATCTGAGGGGCTCCGTACATTTAAAGCAATATCAGCATATGTTGCTTACAGTGGTCTAATCGAAGGGGGGGCATGCTGCTACATTGGTTTTGTTGCCTCATGCAACAACCCTGAGTGGAGCACGTTCTCTCTGTGTCATCGTGGCGTCTCCTCTGGATTCCCCCCAAAGTCTAAATAGCTGCTGAGGTTAATTGGAGCTACCAAATTGCCCATAGGTGTGACTGGTGTGAGCACCTCGCCATGAGCTGGCCTGGTCTGGGCTGTTCCCTGCCTTGTGTCTGTATCTTCTGGGATAGGCTCTGGACCCCCCACAACCCTGCACAGGACAAGCGAGTATGGAAGATGGATGGATGCATGGATGATCTAATACGACTAAACTCATAGCTGTCAAGTCTCCCGTTTTGGCCGGGAAACTACCGTATTTTACCCCTCTTTCCCGCCGTCCTCCCGTATTAGTATTTTCCTGTAAATCTCCCGTATTATAATTTTTTTTAAAATTCCTCTGCCTCTCCAAACTGAACTGTCAGTAGCCTCGCGAGAACTGCCACCTGCTGTAGTCTGCAGGTCATTTACAACATTGACCAGGTCATAAATGCGGAGGTTAAAATGGCAATACTGTGTGCCAAAAACAACGTTACTTTCACCTTCTGTGACGACTTCAACAAGGATACAAAGTCTGCAACAAATAGGTATAATAAGTCATTAGTGAATGCCAGAGAGCCACGAGTGAACATGAGAAATTAAAAGAAAATTTGTAATGAAAATAAAATGTAAATGACAAGTGGTTATTTTAGATTTCTTGTACACCTGTCTTAAAATGTAAGGGATACTGGAGCTTGGTTGGGGTGGTGGGATGGGTCATGGTGGGTGCTGGAAAATTTCCTTTATTTTCAAATCCAAAACTTGACAGGTATGGCTAAACTCCCTCCAGGTCTTAGCATGTTGTTGAACCACGTCGGTGGCATTCATATGGCAGTATATCCATTACCCAGAATCAGGGTGACCGTGGGTCACAAACAAAGGGTGTGACAGTGAAGTTGTCATGTAGCCAGTCCAGTAAAATTAATATGAATTTTTGCAAAAACACTTATAGGAATGACTAATTATACTTAATTTATTGGTACATTCTCTTATTTTGTCCCTCTCATACTGTCAGGACCAAGGGCCCACCTGCCTCCCCAGTCTCTTCCGGCTCTAAAGCTGGAAGCACCTGAAAGCGGTTAGAAACCGTTACTTCAGGTGATGCCGCCTCTGTGAATTGTGTATGCCCTTTTCTACGTCTACGACCTACGTTCACCCAGCTCTCTCGACCTACCTGTTCATCATTCTCCCCCCTCCCCGCTTGTGACGTACACATAGTCTCCCTAGAAGGCATATTAACTCTCTCCTTTAACTCATTGCTATGCTGGATGAGAGCCAGTCGCTCCTCTAGGTCACGAACCTGGACCATGAGTGAGTCAACTAACCTACATCGCTCGCAGACGAAGTCCGACTGGACGCAAGCATCCAGAAGGGCAAACATCTTGCAAACACAACACTGAGCTGGCCCCATAATTACCTAACTCACTATGTCCCCGTCCTTTACTCCCAGCCCAGTATATTAATATAGAGTATTTAAACTTTTAGTTGATCTAATTAACGTATAGTTAAAACTTAGATACTCCTGCTTAATTTTGAAATCATTAGTTATTTTCCAATTGTGGTACAGAGCCCTTTTCCTCCTGACTTAATTCAGTGTAGGAGCAATTGCATAAATATAGATACAATTTGTTTAAAAAGTAAATTTAATGTAAAAGAAACACTACCTTTTTATGAATTATGAAATATAAAATTGTTATGAAACAGAATAGGGCTTTGAATTCAAATATGTCTTGTCAGTCCATAAAGTCCAATCAAGCTCCCATGTGTACAAGTACACAAGAATTTCACATCTCCCATCATGCTCTCCTGTGAGACACGCATGCAGGTGAGGGCAAAGTGACCACCCCTAAAGCATGATTTGGGCTTATGGGCCCAACAGTGATATGATCACGCTGCCGACTATGGGATTCAAACCAGTGACCCTCCAAACACCGGTAGAGATTCCTGACCCACAGAGCCCAACACTGCCCCTACTGACAGGGACCTTTCATTACGCAACTTAATACATTTCACAATGGTTTTATTTTGAAAATATTTAGTTTAATGATACAGAACTGGTATATACACTCACCTAAAGGATTATTAGGAACACCTGTTCAATTTCTCATTAATGCAATTATCTAATCAACCAATCACATGGCAGTTGCTTCAATTCATTTAGGGGTGTGGTCCTGGTCAAGACAATCTCCTGAACTCCAAACTGAATGTCAGAATGGGAAAGAAAGGTGATTTAAGCAATTTTGAGCGT